CCCCGCCCCATTCTTCCGCATCCCATCACACCGCCCCATTGTCCCGCTTTCCTCACCCCGCCCCATTCTCCTGCTTTCCATCACCCCGCCCCATTCTCCCGCTTTCCGTTACCCCGCCCCATTCTCCCTCCTTTCATCACCCCGCCTCATTCTCCCGCTTGCCATCACCCCGCCATATTCTCCCATATACCATCACCCCGCCCCATTCTCCCGCTTTCCATCACCCCGCCCCATTTTCCCGCTTTCCATCACCCCGCCCCATTCTCCCGCTTTCCATCACCCCGCCCCATTCTCCCTCCTTCCATCACTCCGCCCCATTCTACCGCTTTCCATCACCCCGCCCCATTCTCCCTCCTTCCATCACCCAATCCCTTTCTCCCTCCTTCCATCACCCCGCCCCATTCTCACGCTTTCTATCACCCCGCCCCATTCTCACGCTTTCCATCACCCCGCCCCATTCTCCCGCTTTCCATCACCCCGCCCCATTCTCCCGCTTTCCATCACCCCGCCCCATTGTCCCGCTTTCCATCACCCCGCCCCATTCTCCAGCTTTCCATCACCCTGCCCCATTCTCCCGTTTTCCATCACCCCGCCCCATTCTCCCGCTTTCCATCACCCCGCCTCATTCTCCTGCTTTCCATCACCCTGCCCTATTCTCCCGCTTTCAATCACCCAGCCCCATTCTCCCGCTTTCCATCACCCTGCCCCATTCTCCCGCTTTCCATCACCCCGCCCCATTCTCCCGCTTTCCATCTCCCCGCCCCATTCTCCCGCTTTCTTTCACCCCGCCCCATTCTCCCGCTTTCCATCACCCTGCCCCCTTCTTTCGCATTCCATCACCCCGCCCCATTCTCCCGCTTTCCATCACCCCGCCCCCTTCTCCCGCTTTCCATCACCCCGCCCCATTCTCCCCCTTTCAATCACCCCGCCCCATTCTCCCGCTTTCCATCACCCCGCCCCATTCTCCCGCTTTCTATCACCCAGCCCCATTCTCCCGCTTTCCATCACCCCGCCCCATTCTCCCGCTTTCCATCGCCCCGCCCCATTCTCCCGCTTTCTTTCACCCCGCCCCATTCTCCCCATTTCAATCACCCCGCCCCATTCTCCCGCTTTCCATCACCCCGCCCCATTCTCCCGCTTTCCATCACCCCGCCCCATTCTCCCGCTTTCCATCACCCCGCCCCATTCTCCCGCTTTCCATCACCCTGCCCCATTCTCCTGTTTTCCATCACCCCGCCCCATTCTCCCGCTTTCCATCACCACGCCCCATTCTCCCGCTATCCATCACCCCGCCCCATTCTTCCGCTTTCCATCACCCCGCCCCATTCTCCCGCTTTCCATCACCCCGCCCCATTCTCCCGCTTTCCATCACCCCGCCCCATTCTCCCGCTTTCCATCACCCCGCCCCATTCTTCCGCTTTCCATCACCCCGCCCCATTGTCCCGCTTTCCATCATCCCGCCCCATTCTCCAACTTTCCATCACCCTGCCCCATTCTCCCGCTTTCCATCACCCCGCCCCATTCTCCCGCTTTCCATCACCCCGCCCCATTCTCCCGCTTTCCATCACCCCGCCCCATTCTCCAACTTTCCATCACCCTGCCCCATTCTCCCGTTTTCCATCACCCCGCCCCATTCTCCCGCTTTCCATCACCCCGCCTCATTCTCCTGCTTTCCATCACCCTGCCCTATTCTCCCGCTTTCAATCACCCAGCCCCATTCTCCCGCTTTCCATCACCCTGCCCCATTCTCCCGCTTTCCATCACCCCGCCCCATTCTCCCGCTTTCCATCTCCCCGCCCCATTCTCCCGCTTTCTTTCACCCCGCCCCATTCTCCCGCTTTCCATCACCCTGCCCCCTTCTTTCGCATTCCATCACCCCGCCCCATTCTCCCGCTTTCCATCACCCCGCCCCCTTCTCCCGCTTTCCATCACCCCGCCCCATTCTCCCCCTTTCAATCACCCCGCCCCATTCTCCCGCTTTCCATCACCCCGCCCCATTCTCCCGCTTTCTATCACCCAGCCCCATTCTCCCGCTTTCCATCACCCCGCCCCATTCTCCCGCTTTCCATCGCCCCGCCCCATTCTCCCACTTTCTTTCACCCCGCCCCATTCTCCCCATTTCAATCACCCCGCCCCATTCTCCCGCTTTCCATCACCCCGCCCCATTCTCCCGCTTTCCATCACCCCGCCCCATTCTCCCGCTTTCCATCACCCCGCCCCATTCTCCCGCTTTCCATCACCCTGCCCCATTCTCCTGTTTTCCATCACCCCGCCCCATTCTCCCGCTTTCCATCACCACGCCCCATTCTCCCGCTATCCATCACCCCGCCCCATTCTTCCGCTTTCCATCACCCCGCCCCATTCTCCCGCTTTCCATCACCCCGCCCCATTCTCCCGCTTTCCATCACCCCGCCCCATTCTTCCGCTTTCCATCACCCCGCCCCATTGTCCCGCTTTCCATCACCCCGCCCCATTCTCCAGCTTTCCATCACCCTGCCCCATTCTCCCGCTTTCCATCACCCCGCCCCATTCTCCCGCTTTCCATCACCCCGCCCAATTCTCCCGCTTTCCATCACCCCCGCCCCATTCTCCCGCTTTCCATCACCCCGCCCCATTCTCCCGCTTTCCATCACCCTGCCCCATTCTCCCGCTTTCCATCACCCCGCCCCATTCTCCCGCTTTCCATCACCCCGCCCCATTCTCCCGCTTTCCATCACCCCGCACCATTCTCTTGCTTTCCATCACCCCGACCCATTCTCCCGCTTTCCATCACCCTGCCCGTTTCTCCCTCCTTCCATCACCCCACCCTATTCTCCCTCCTTCCATCACCCCGCCCCATTCTCCCACTTTCCATCACCCCGCCCCATTCTCCCGCTTCCCATCACCCTGCCCCATTCTCCCGCTTTCCATCACCCCGCCCCATTCTCCCGCTTTCAATCACCCCGCCCCATTCTCCCCCTTTCCATCACCCCGCCCCATTCTCCCGCTTTCCATCACCCCGCCCCATTCTCCTGCTTTCCATCACCCCGCCCTATTCTCCCGCTTTCAATCACCCCGCCCCATTGTCCCGCTTTCCATCACCCCGCCCCATTCTCCAACTTTCCATCACCCTGCCCCATTCTCCCGCTTTCCATCACCCCGCCCCATTCTCCCGCTTTCCATCACCCCACCCCATTCTCCCTCCTTCCATCATCCCGCCCCATTCTCCCTCCTTCCATCACCCCGCCCCATTCTCCCGCTTTCCATCACTCTGCCCCATTCTCCTGCTTTCCATCACCCCGCCCCATTGTCCCGCTTTCCATCACCCCGCCCCATTCTCTCGCTTTCCATCACCCCGACCCATTCTCCCGCTTTCCATCACCCCGCCCCTTTCTCCCTCCTTCCCTCACCCCACCCCATTCTCCCTCCTTCCATCACCCCGCCCCATTCTCCCGCTTTCCATCACCCCGCCCCATTCTCTTGCATCCCATCACCCCGCCCCATTCTCCCGCTTTCCATCACCCCGCCCCATTCTCCCGCTTTCAATCACCCCGCCCCATTCTCACCCTTTCCATCACCCCGCCCCATTCTCCTGCTTTCCATCACCCCGCCCCATTCTCCCGCTTTCCATCACCCCGCCCCATTCTCCCGCTTTCCATCACCCCGCCCCATTCTCCCGCTTTCCATCACCCCGCCCCATTCTCCCGCTTTCCATCACCCCGCCCCATTCTCCCGCTTTCCATCACCCCGCCCCATTCTCCCGCTTTCCATCACCCGCCCCATTCTCCCGCTTTCCATCACCCCGCCACATTCTCCCGCTTTCCGTCATCCGCCCCATTCTCCCGCTTTCCATCGCCCCGCCACATTCTCCCGCTTTCCATCACCCCGCCCCATTCTCCCGCTTTCCATCACCCCGCCCCATTCTCCCGCTTTCCATCACCCCGCCCCATTCTCCCGCTTTCCATCGCCCTGCCCCATTCTCCCTCCTTCCATCGCCCCGCCCCATTCTCCTGCTTTCCATCACCCCGCCCCATTCTCCCGCTTTCCATCACCCCGCCCCATTCTCCCGCTTTCCATCACCCCGCCCCATTCTCCCGCTTTCCATAACCCCGCCCCATTCTCCCGCTTTCCATCACCCCGCCCCATTCTCCCGCTTTCCATCACCCCGCCCCATTCTCCCGATTTCCATCACCCTGCCCCATTCTCCGGCTTTCCATCACCCCGCCCCATCCTCCCTCCTTCCATCACCCCGCCCCATTCCCCCTCCTTCCATCACCCTGCCCCATTCTCCCGCTTTCCATCACCCCGCCCCATTCTCCCGCTTTCCATCACCCCGCCCCATTCTCCCGCTTTCCATCACCCCGCCCCCTTCTTTCGCATTCCATCACCCCGCCCCATTCTCCCGCTTTCCATCACCCCGCCCCCTTCTCCCGCTTTCCATCACCCCGCCCCATTCTCCCGCTTTCCATCACCCCGCCCCATTCTCCCGCTTTCCATAACCCCTCCCCATTCTCCCGCTTTCCATCACCCCGCCCCCTTCTTTCGCATTCCATCACCCCGCCCCATTCTCCCGCTTTCCATCACCCCGCCCCCTTCTCCCGCTTTCCATCACCCCGCCCCATTCTCCCGCTTTCCATCACCCCGCCACATTCTCCCTCCTTCCATCACCCCGCCCCATTCTCCTGCTTTCCATCACCCCGCCCCATTCTCCCGCTTTCCATCACCCTGCCCCATTCTCCCGTTTTCCATCACCCCGCCCCCTTCTCCCGCTTTCCATCACCCCGCCCAATTCTCCCGCTTTCCATCACCCCGCCCCCTTCTCCTGCTTTCCATCACCCCGCCCCATTCTCCCGCTTTCCATCACCCCGCCACATTCTCCCGCTTTCCATCACCCCGCCCCATTCTCCCGTTTTCTATCATCCCGCCCCATTCTCCCGCTTTCCATCACCCCGCCCCATTCTCCCGCTTTCCATCACCCCGCCTCATTCTCCCGCTTTCCATCACCCCGCCCCCTTCTCAAGCTTTCCATCACCCCACCCCATTCTCCCGCTTTCCATCACCCCGCCCCCTTCTCCCGCTTTCCATCACCCCGCCCCATTCTCCCGCTTTCCATCACCCCGCCCCATTCTCCCGCTTTCCATCACCCCGCCCCATTCTCCCGCTTTCCATCACCCCGCCCCATTCTCCCGCTTTCCATCACCCCGCCCCATTCTCCCGCTTTCCATCACCCCGCCCCATTCTCCCGCTTTCCATCACCCCGCCCCATTCTCCCGCTTTCCATCACCCCGCCCCCTTCTTTCGCATTCCATCACCCCGCCCCATTCTCCCGCTTTCCATCACCCCGCCCCCTTCTCTCGCTTTCCATCACCTCGCCCCATTCTCCCGCTTTCCATCACCCCGCCCCATTCTCCCGCTTTCCATAACCCCGCCCCATTCTCCCGCTTTCCATCACCCCGCCCCCTTCTCCCGCTTTCCATCACCCCGCCCCATTCTCCCGCTTTCCATCGCCCCGCCCCATTCTCCCGCTTTCCATCACCCCGCCCCATTCTCCCGCTTTCCATAACCCCGCCCCATTCTCCCGCTTTCCATCACCCCGCCCCCTTCTTTCGCATTCCATCACCCCGCCCCATTCTCCCGCTTTCCATCACCCCGCCCCCTTCTCCCGCTTTCCATCACCCCGCCTCATTCTCCCGCTTTCCATCGCCCCGCCCCATTCTCCCTCCTTCCATCACCCCGCCCCATTCTCCTGCTTTCCATCACCTCGCCCCATTCTCCCGCTTTCCATCACCCCGCTCCATTCTCCTGCTTTCCATCACCCCGCCCCCTTCTCCTGCTTTCCATCACCCCGCCCCATTCTCCCGCTTTCCATCACCCCGCCACATTCTCCCGCTTTCCATCACCCCGCCCCATTCTCCCGTTTTCTATCATCCCGCCCCATTCTCCCGCTTTCCATCACCCCGCCCCATTCTCCCGCTTTCCATCACCCCGCCTCATTCTCCCGCTTTCCATCACCCCGCCCCCTTCTCAAGCTTTCCATCACCCCGCCCCATTCTCCCGCTTTCCATCACCCCGCCCCCTTCTCCCGCTTTCCATCACCCCGCCCCATTCTCCCGCTTTCCATCACCCCGCCCCATTCTCCCGCTTTCCATCACCCCGCCCCATTCTCCCGCTTTCCATCACCCCGCCCCATTCTCCCGCTTTCCATCACCCCGCCCCATTCTCCCGCTTTCCATCACCCCGCCCCATTCTCCCGCTTTCCATCACCCCGCCCCATTCTCCCGCTTTCCATCACCCCGCCCCCTTCTTTCGCATTCCATCACCCCGCCCCATTCTCCCGCTTTCCATCACCCCGCCCCCTTCTCTCGCTTTCCATCACCTCGCCCCATTCTCCCGCTTTCCATCACCCCGCCCCATTCTCCCGCTTTCCATAACCCCGCCCCATTCTCCCGCTTTCCATCACCCCGCCCCCTTCTCCCGCTTTCCATCACCCCGCCCCATTCTCCCGCTTTCCATCGCCCCGCCCCATTCTCCCGCTTTCCATCACCCCGCCCCATTCTCCCGCTTTCCATAACCCCGCCCCATTCTCCCGCTTTCCATCACCCCGCCCCCTTCTTTCGCATTCCATCACCCCGCCCCATTCTCCCGCTTTCCATCACCCCGCCCCCTTCTCCCGCTTTCCATCACCCCGCCTCATTCTCCCGCTTTCCATCGCCCCGCCCCATTCTCCCTCCTTCCATCACCCCGCCCCATTCTCCTGCTTTCCATCACCTCGCCCCATTCTCCCGCTTTCCATCACCCCGCTCCATTCTCCTGCTTTCCATCACCCCGCCCCCTTCTCCTGCTTTCCATCACCCCGCCCCATTCTCCCGCTTTCCATCACCCCGCCACATTCTCCCGCTTTCCATCACCCCGCCCCATTCTCCCGTTTTCTATCATCCCGCCCCATTCTCCCGCTTTCCATCACCCCGCCCCATTCTCCCGCTTTCCATCACCCCGCCTCATTCTCCCGCTTTCCATCACCCCGCCCCCTTCTCAAGCTTTCCATCACCCCGCCCCATTCTCCCGCTTTCCATCACCCCGCCCCCTTCTCCCGCTTTCCATCACCCCGCCCCATTCTCCCGCTTTCCATCACCCCGCCCCATTCTCCCGCTTTCCATCACCCCGCCCCATTCTCCCGCTTTCCATCACCCCGCCCCATTCTCCCGCTTTCCATCACCCCGCCCCATTCTCCCGCTTTCCATCACCCCGCCCCATTCTCCCGCTTTCCATCACCCCGCCCCATTCTCCCGCTTTCCATCACCCCGCCCCCTTCTTTCGCATTCCATCACCCCGCCCCATTCTCCCGCTTTCCATCACCCCGCCCCCTTCTCTCGCTTTCCATCACCTCGCCCCATTCTCCCGCTTTCCATCACCCCGCCCCATTCTCCCGCTTTCCATAACCCCGCCCCATTCTCCCGCTTTCCATCACCCCGCCCCCTTCTCCCGCTTTCCATCACCCCGCCCCATTCTCCCGCTTTCCATCGCCCCGCCCCATTCTCCCGCTTTCCATCACCCCGCCCCATTCTCCCGCTTTCCATAACCCCGCCCCATTCTCCCGCTTTCCATCACCCCGCCCCCTTCTTTCGCATTCCATCACCCCGCCCCATTCTCCCGCTTTCCATCACCCCGCCCCCTTCTCCCGCTTTCCATCACCCCGCCTCATTCTCCCGCTTTCCATCGCCCCGCCCCATTCTCCCTCCTTCCATCACCCCGCCCCATTCTCCTGCTTTCCATCACCTCGCCCCATTCTCCCGCTTTCCATCACCCCGCTCCATTCTCCTGCTTTCCATCACCCCGCCCCATTCTCCCTCCTTCCATCACCCCGCCCCATTCTCCCGCTTTCCATCACCCCGCCCCATTCTCCCGCCTTCCATCACCCCGCCCCATTCTCCCTCCTTCCATCACTCCGCCCCATTCTCCCGCTTTCCATCACTCAGCCCCATTCTCCCGCTTTCCATCACCCCGCCCCATTCTCCCGCTTTCCATCACCCCGCCCCATTCTCTCGCTTTCCATCACCCCGACCCATTCTCCCGCTTTCCATCATCCCACCCCTTTCTCCCTCCTTCCATCACCACACCCCATTCTCCCGCTTTCAATCACCCCGCCCCATTCTCCCGCTTTCCATCACCCCGCCCCCTTCTCCCGCTTTCCATCACCCCGCCCCCTTCTCCCGCTTTCCATCACCCCGCCCCATTCTCCCGCTTTCCATCACCCCGCCCCATTCTCCCGCTTTCCATCACCCCGCCCCCTTCTTTCGCATTCCATCACCCCGCCCCATTCTCCTGCTTTCCATCACCCCGCCCCCTTCTCCCGCTTTCCATCACCCCGCCCCATTCTCCCGCTTCCCATCACCCCGCCCCATTCTCCCGCCTTCCATCACCCCGCCCCATTCCCCCTCCTTTCATCACCCCGCCCCATTCTCCCTCCTTCCATCACTCCGCCCCATTCTCCCGCTTTCCATCACTCAGCCCCATTCTCCCGCTTTCCATCACCCCGCCCCATTCTCCCGCTTTCCATCACCCCGCCCCATTCTCCCGCTTTCCATCACCCCGCCCCATTCTCCCGCTTTCCATCACCCCGCCCCATTCTCCCGCTTTCCATCACCCCGCCCCATTCTCCCGCTTTCCATCACCCCGCCCCCTTCTCCCGCTTTCCATCACCCCGCCCCATTCTCCCTCCTTCCATCACCCCGCCCCATTCTCCCTCCTTCCATCACCCCGCCCCATTCTCCCGCTTTCCATCACCCCACCCCATTCTCCCGCTTTCCATCACCCCGCCCCCTTCTCCCGCTTTCCATCACCCCGCCCCATTCTCCCGCTTTCAATCACCCCGCCCCATTCTCCCCCTTTCCATCACCCCGCCCCATTCTCCTGCTTTCCATCACCCCGCCCCATTCTCCTGCTTTCCATCACCCCGCCCTATTCTCCCGCTTTCCATCACCCCGCCCCATTGTCCCGCTTTCCATCACCCCACCCCATTCTCCCGCTTTCCATCACCCCGCCCCATTCTCCCGCTTTCCATCACCCCGCCCCATTCTCCCGCTTTCCATCACCCCGCCCCATTCTCCCTCCTTCCATCACCCCACCCCATTCTCCCTCCTTCCATCACCCCTCCCCATTCTCCCTCCTTCCATCACCCCGCCCTATTCTCCCGCTTTCCATCACCCCGCCCCCTTCTCCCGCTTTCCATCACCCCGCCCCATTCTCCCGCTTTCCATCACCCCGCCCCATTCTCCCGCTTTCCATAACCCCGCCCCATTCTCCCCCTTTCCATCACCCCGCCCCCTTCTTTCGCATTCCATCACCCCGCCCCATTCTCCCGCTTTCCATCACCCCGCCCCCTTCTCCCGCTTTCCATCACCCCGCCCAATTCTCCCGCTTTCCATCACCCCGCCACATTCTCCCTCCTTCCATCACCCCGCCCCATTCTCCTGCTTTCCATCACCCCGCCCCATTCTCCCGCTTTCCATCACCCTGCCCCATTCTCCCGTTTTCCATCACCCCGCCCCCTTCTCCCGCTTTCCATCACCCCGCCCAATTCTCCCGCTTTCCATCACCCCGCCCCCTTCTCCCGCTTTCCATCACCCCGCCCCATTCTCCCGCTTTCCATCACCCCGCCACATTCTCCCGCTTTCCATCACCCCGCCCCATTCTCCCGTTTTCTATCATCCCGCCCCATTCTCCCGCTTTCCATCACCCCGCCCCATTCTCCCGCTTTCCATCACCCCGCCTCATTCTCCCGCTTTCCATCACCCCGCCCCCTTCTCAAGCTTTCCATCACCCCGCCCCATTCTCCCGCTTTCCATCACCCCGCCCCCTTCTTTCGCATTCCATCACCCCGCCCCATTCTCCCGCTTTCCATCACCCTGCCCCCTTCTCCCGCTTTCCATCACCCCGCCCCATTCTCCCGCTTTCCATCACCCCACCCCATTCTCCCTCCTTCCATCACCCCGCCCCATTCTCCCGCTTTCCATCACCCCGCCCCATTCTCCCGCTTTCCATCACCCCGCCCCATTCTCCCGCTTTCCATCACCCCGCCCCCTTCTTTGCATTCCATCACCCCGCCCCATTCTCCCGCTTTCCATCACCCCGCCCCCTTCTCCCTCTTTCCATCACCCCGCCCCATTCTCCCGCTTTCCATCACCCCGCCCCATTCTCCCGCTTTCCATAACCCCGCCCCATTCTCCCGCTTTCCATCACCTCGCCCCCTTCTTTCGCATTCCATCACCCCGCCCCATTCTCCCGCTTTCCATCACCCCGCCCCCTTCTCCCGCTTTCCATCACCCCGCCCCATTCTCCCGCTTTCCATCGCCCCGCCCCATTCTCCCTCCTTCTATCACCCCGCTCCATTCTCCTGCTTTCCATCACCCCGCCCCATTCTCCCGCTTTCCATCACCCCGCCCCATTCTCCTGCTTTCCATCACCCCGCCCCATTCTCCCTCCTTCCATCACCCCGCCCCATTCTCCCGCTTTCCATCACCCCGCCCCATTCTCCCGCCTTCCATCACCCCGCCCCATTCCCCCTCCTTTCATCACCCCGCCCCATTCTCCCTCCTTCCATCACTCCGCCCCATTCTCCCGCTTTCCATCACTCAGCCCCATTCTCCCGCTTTCCATCACCCCGCCCCATTCTCCCGCTTTCCATCACCCCGCCCCATTCTCTCGCTTTCCATCACCCCGACCCATTCTCCCACTTTCCATCATCCCACCCCTTTCTCCCTCCTTCCATCACCACACCCCATTCTCCCGCTTTCCATCACCCCGCCCCATTCTCCCGCTTTCCATCACCCCGCCCCCTTCTCCCGCTTTCCATCACCCCGCCCCATTCTCCCGCTTTCAATCACCCCGCCCCATTCTCCCCCTTTCCATCACCCCGCCCCATTCTCCCGCTTTCCATGACCCCGCCCCATTCTCCTGCTTTCCATCACCCCGCCCTATTCTCCCGCTTTCCATCACCCCGCCCCATTGTCCCGCTTTCCATCACCCCGCCCCATTCTCCCGCTTTCCATCACCCCGCCCCATTCTCCCGCTTTCCATCACCCCGCCCCATTCTCCCGCTTTCCATCACCCCGCCCCATTCTCCCTCCTTCCATCACCCCACCCCATTCTCCTTCCTTCCATCACCCCTCCCCATTCTCCCTCCTTCCATCACCCCGCCCTATTCTCCCGCTTTCCATCACCCCGCCCCCTTCTCCCGCTTTCCATCACCCCGCCCCATTCTCCCGCTTTCCATCACCCCGCACATTCGCTTTCCATCACCCTGCCCCATTCCCCCGCTTTCCATCACCCCGCCCCATTCTCCCGCTTTCCATCACCCCGCCCCATTCTCCCGCTTTCCATCACCCCGCCCCATTCTCCCGCTTTCCATCACCCTGCCCCATTCTCCCGCTTTCCATCACCCCGCCCCCTTCTCCCGCTTTCCATCACCCCGCCCCATTCTCCCGCTTTCCATCACCCCGCCCCATTCTCCCGCTTTCCATCACCCCGCCCCATTCTCCCGCTTTCCATCACCCCGCCCCATTCTCCCGCTTTCTATCATCCCGCCCCATTCTCCCGCTTTCCATCACCCCGCCCCATTCTCCCGCTTTCCATCACTCCGCCTCATTCTCCCGCTTTCCATCACCCCGCCCCATTCTCAAGCTTTCCATCACCCCGCCCCATTCTCCCGCTTTCCATCACCCCGCCCCCTTCTTTCGCATTCCATCACCCCGCCCCATTCTCCCGCTTTCCATCACCCCGCCCCCTTCTCCCGCTTTCCATCACCCCGCCCCATTCTCCCGCTTTCCATCACCCGCCCCATTCTCCCGCTTTCCATCACCCCGCCCCATTCTCCCGCTTTCCATCACCCCGCCCCATTCTCCCTCCTTCCATCACCCTGCCCCATTCTCCCGCTTTCCATCACCCCGCCCCATTCTCCCGCTTTCCATCACCCCGCCCCATTCTCCCTCCTTCCATCACCCTGCCCCATTCTCCCTCTTTCCATCACCCCGCCTCATTCTCCCGCTTTCCATCACCCCGCCCCATTCTCCCGCTTTCCATCACCCCGCCCCATTCTCCCGCTTTCCATCACCCCGCCCCCTTCGTTCGCATTCCATCACCCCGCCCCATTCTCCCCCTTTCCATCACCCCGCCACCTTCTCGCGCTTTCCATCACCCCGCCCCATTCTCCCCCCATTCTCCCGCTTTCCATCACCCCGCCCCATTCTCCCGCTTTCCATCACCCCGCCCCATTCTCCCTCCTTCCATCACCCCGCCCTATTTTCCGGCTTTCCATCACCCCGCCCCATTCTCCCGCTTTCCGTCACCCGCCCCATTCTCCCGCTTTCCATCGCCCCGCCACATTCTCCCGCTTTCCATCGCCCCGCCCCATTCTCCCGCTTTCCATCACCCCGCCCCATTCTCCCGCTTTCCATCACCCCGCCCCATTCTCCCGCTTTCCATCAACCCGCCCCATTCTCCCGCTTTCCATCACCCCGCCCCATTCTTTCGCATTCCATCACCCCGCCCCATTCTCCCGCTTTCCATCACCCCGCCCCCTTCTCCCGCTTTCCATCACCCCGCCCCATTCTCCCGCTTTCCATCACCCGCCCCATTCTCCCGCTTTCCATCACCCCGCCCCATTCTCCCGCTTTCCATCACCCCGCCCCATTCTCCCTCCTTCCATCACCCTGCCCCATTCTCCCGCTTTCCATCACCCCGCCCCATTCTCACGCTTTCCATCACCCCGCCTCATTCTCCCGCTTTCCATCACCCCGCCCCATTCTCTCGCTTTCCATCACCCCGCCCCATTCTCCCGCTTTCCATCACCCCGCCCCCTTCGTTCGCATTCCATCACCCCGCACCATTCTCCCGCTTTCCATCACCCCGCCACCTTCTCGCGCTTTCCATCACCCCGCCCCATTCTCCCCCCATTCTCCCGCTTTCCATCACCCCGCCCCATTCTCCCGCTTTCCATCACCCCGCCCCATTCTCCCTCCTTCCATCACCCCGCCCCATTTTCCCGCTTTCCATCACCCTGCCCCAATCTCCCGCTTTCCGTCACCCGCCCCATTTTCCCGCTTTCCATCACCCCGCCCCAATCTCCCGCTTTCCGTCACCCGACCCATTCTCCCGCTTTCCATCGCCCCGCCCCATTCTCCCGCTTTCCATCACCCTGCCCCATTCTCCCGCTTTCCATCACCCCGCCCCATTCTCCCGCTTTCCATCACCCCGCCCCATTCTCCCGCTTTCCATCACCCCGCCCCATTCTCCCGCTTTCCATCACCCCGCCCCTTCTCCCGCTTTCCATCACCCCGCCCCATTCTCCCGCTTTCCATCACCCCGCCCCATTCTCCCGCTTTCCATCACCCCGCCTCATTCTCCCGCTTTCCATCACCCCGCCCCCTTCTCAAGCTTTCCATCACCCCGCCCCATTCTCCCGCTTTCCATCACCCCGCCCCCTTCTTTCGCATTCCATCACCCCGCCCCATTCTCCCGCTTTCCATCACCCCTCCCCCTTCTCCCGCTTTCCATCACCCCGCCCCATTCTCCCGCTTTCCATCACCCCGCCCCATTCTCCCGCTTTCCATCACCCCGCCCCATTCTCCCGCTTTCGATCACCCCACCCCATTCTCCCTCCTTCCATCACCCCGCCCCATTCTCCCGCTTTCCATCACCCCGCCCCATTCTCCCGCTTTCCATCACCCCGCCCCATTCTCCCGCTTTCCATCACCCCGCCCCCTTCTTTCGCATTCCATCACCCCGCCCCATTCTCCCGCTTTCCATCACCCTGCCCCCTTCTCCAGCTTTCCATCACCCCGCCCCATTCTCCCGCTTTCCATCACCCCGCCCCATTCTCCCGCTTTCCATAACCCCGCCCCATTCTCCCGCTTTCCATCACCCCGCCCCATTCTCCCTCCTTCCATCACCCCGCCCCATTCTCCCGCTTTCCATCACCCCGCCCCATTCTCCCGCTTTCCATCACCGGCCCCATTCTCCCGCTTTCCATCGCCCCGCCACATTCTCCCGTTTTCCATCACCCCGCCCCATTCTCCCGCTTTCCATCACCCCGCCCCATTCTCCCGCTTTCCATCACCCCGCCCCATTCTCCCGCTTTCCATCACCCCGTCTCATTCTCCCGCTTTCCATCACCCCGCCGCATTCTCCCGCTTTCCATCACCCCGCCGCATTCTCCCGCTTTCCATCACCCCGCCCCATTCTCCCGCATTCCATCACCCCGCCTCCTTCTTTCGCATTCCATCACCCCGCCCCATTCTCCCGCTTTCCATCACCCCGCCACCTTCTCGCGCTTTCCATCACCCCGCCCCATTCTCCCCCCATTCTCCCGCTTTCCATCACCCCGCCCCATTCTCCCTCCTTCCATCACCCCGCCCTATTTTCCCGCTTTCCATCGCCCCGCCCCATTCTCCCGCTTTCCATCACCCCGCCCCATTCTCCCGCTTTCCATCAACCCGCCCCATTCTCCCGCTTTCCATCACCCCGCCCCATTCTCCCGCTTTCCATCACCCCGCCCCATTCTCCCGCTTTCCATCACCCCGCCCCATTCTCCCGCTTTCCATCACCCCGCCCCATTCTCCCGCTTTCCATCACCCCGCCCCATTCTCCCGCTTTCCATCACCCCGCCCCATTCTCCCGCTTTCCATCACCCCGCCCCATCCTCCCTCCTTCCATCACCCCGCCCCATTCTCCCTCCTTCCATCACCCTGCCCCATTCTCCCGCTTTCCATCACCCCGCCCCATTCTCCCGCTTTCCATCACCCCGCCCCCTTCTTTCGCATTCCATCACCCCGCCCCATTCTCCCGCTTTCCATCACCCCGCCCCCTTCTCCCGCTTTCCATCACCCCGCCCCATTCTCCCGCTTTCCATCACCCCGCCCCATTCTCCCGCTTTCCATAACCCCGCCCCATTCTCCCGCTTTCCATCACCCCGCCCCCTTCTTTCGCATTCCATCACCCCGCCCCATTCTCCCGCTTTCCATCACCCCGCCCCCTTCTCCCGCTTTCCATCACCCCGCCCCATTCTCCCGCTTTCCATCACCCCGCCACATTCTCCCTCCTTCCATAACCCCGCCCCATTCTCCTGCTTTCCATCACCCCGCCTCATTCTCCCGCTTTCCATCACCCTGCCCCAATCTCCCGTTTTCCATCACCCCGCCCCCTTCTCCCGCTTTCCATCACCCCGCCCAATTCTCCCGCTTTCCATCACCCCGCCCCCTTCTCCCGCTTTCCATCACCCCGCCCCATTCTCCCGCTTTCCATCACCCCGCCCCATTCTCAAGCTTTCCATCACCCTGCCCCATTCTCCCGCTTTCCATCACCCCGCCCCATCCTCCCTCCTTCCATCACCCCGCCCCATTCTCCCTCCTTCCATCACCCTGCCCCATTCTCCCGCTTTCCATCACCCCGCCCCATTCTCCCGCTTTCCATCACCCCGCCCCCTTCTTTCGCATTCCATCACCCCGCCCCATTCTCCCGCTTTCCATCACCCCGCCCCCTTCTCCCGCTTTCCATCACCCCGCCCCATTCTCCCGCTTTCCATCACCCCGCCCCATTCTCCCGCTTTCCAAAACCCCGCCCCATTCTCCCGCTTTCCATCACCCCGCCCCCTTCTTTCGCATTCCATCACCCCGCCCCATTCTCCCGCTTTCCATCACCCCGCCCCCTTCTCCCGCTTTCCATCACCCCGCCCCATTCTCCCGCTTTCCATCACCCCGCCACATTCTCCCTCCTTCCATCACCCCGCCCCATTCTCCTGCTTTCCATCACCCCGCCCCATTCTCCAGCTTTCTATCACCCTGCCCCATTCTCCCGTTTTCCATCACCCCGCCCCCTTCTCCCGCTTTCCATCACCCCGCCCAATTCTCCCGCTTTCCATCACCCCGCCCCCTTCTCCCGCTTTC